TAATAAATTATCTACTTGAAGTTGTATCACAGTTCCCTGATGCTGGTATTTTTTTTAATTTTTTTAAGTCTCTCATTGTTTCATTTAAAGTAGAATATCTTACTATATTTTCAGAGTTATTAATTGCATCTCCTTTGCTGCCTAATCAGCTGGTCATCCTATCCAGAGTATTTTTCATGTCTAGATAATTTATATCACCTATTCTTTATATCTTCTATATATTTAAATATTCTCAGTTTTCCTCTGTCTTCTTAAATGTAGAAAATATAGTGATGATAACTTATATAATGCTCTTATCTGTGAATTATATGTGTGTTATTTTTGGTTTATATCTAATAATTGATTTTGTTCCTCATTATGAATGACAATTTTCTGCTGGTTTTGTCTTCTTGGTAATTGTGTTTGGATTCTATATATATTGTAAACCTTTATCATTTTGCTTGTTGGAAATTTTGATATTTGTAGAAATAATAAGTTTTAATCAGAGATTTTCTTCCTTCTGGGATTTTTAAGCTTATTTGCTAACTTTTAAACTTTGAGGACTTAAAAGACCTATCAAAGAACCCATAAGCCTTCATTATATAACTGATTTTGTCCCACTGCTGAGGTGATACCCTGCTGAATACTTTGTTGATTTTTCTTGCATTATGAGTTTGTCTATTCTGTTGGATGGGAGCATAGAATTTTTCTAGTCCTGCATAAACTCCTGGGATTATTCTATCTTCTTATGTTGAGTGGTTCTTTTCCCAGCAGTGGGTAATTCTTTCACATGCATGTGCCGATCAGTGCTTAGCTGAAGATTTGAAAAGAATCTACTATGTATTTGGAGTTCTGTCTTTGAAGCACTCTCTTTTATGCTGTTCTAACCTGTGAACTCTATTCTCTTTAGTTTTCCTGGATCCCCAGCTTTGTTTCTAAAGAAAGGGAATCAGCTAGCTTTATGTCCCCCATCCGTGTCCTATGACTTGGATCCTCTCTATAGGATAATTATCTTGCTCCACCTTGTCTTATGTTTGAAAAATGTTGTTATATATATATATATATACACACACAAACACATATATATATATATATATATATATACACAAACACATACACTTTATTATTTTTTAGTGGTCTAGGGGATCAAACCCAGGGTCTCAAGAATGCTAGGTAAATGTACCATTGAGGCATACCCCCAGCCTTGTCCCATATGTTTTGCCAATTTTTAAATTATGTCAGTTGGGAGGGTAAATCTCATCTCTCATTTCATTTTTGGAAGATGGAAATCCTGGAATTCATTCTTTCCCTTGGAGTCAAATTGATATTTTCTTTTTCTAGTATACTACAACCAAGTAGGATATATTCAAGTATACTGGGTTGGTTCAACATTCAAAAATCAACTGATGTATCCCCAGACTAGTGTATCCATGACAGAAGTCAGTTTTATTTTTGAACTTGGAAATTTGATTGATTTCTTATTGCTCTTTATAAAAATCATATTCTGCATATTCTGAGCCCTGTTGTACCTTTTTGTTTGGTCAAAAATTCATTTTAATGCTTCTATTCCAGCTTTATTCTTCTTCTCTTTCTCAAACATGCTACATACATATCTTGCATTTGAGATGCTTATGCCATTTCTCTGCTATGCCCTTCTTTACATGTCTAACTATTTTATATCTTCAGCTTATTTATTACTTCCATAGTAGGGTTTTTCCTGATGAAACTATCTGAACCTTGACCTCCAATACAAGCTGTTCTGTTATCTGATCTCAAAGCATCCATAATTATCCTTTCTATTTCTTCTTTAGTTCTTATTCATCATTCTTATTATTAATTATTTATTGTGTGTCTTCACTAGAGTTTAAGCTCTTACTTTTCTACAACACAGTAGGCATACAATAAATGCTTGCTGAACACATGTAAAAGGTTTAATTAGATAATTTGTATGTTTTTGTCTATAATTTTATTCTTATAGGAAAAATATTAAAGAAATTGTACTGATTTGCCTTAATAAGACTTTAAGTTCTTGAGCATCATTTTTGTCATCTTTAGAATTAATATCAACATTGTCTCCAAATGCCACCTATTTGATTTTTCTAAAGCAAAAGAATCTCTTCTATTTACTATTGTAGATTTTAAATTTGGCTATAGGATAACACTGATCACTTTGTTATTTTTCCTTCCTCTTCTGTACTGTAAATTTCTTGTTGGTAATAACTATATGTTATATATTTTTCTTTTTTTAAAGAGAAAGAGAATTTTTAATATTTATTTTTTATTTTTCAGTGTACACAACATCTTTATTTTATTTATTTTTTATTTATTCTTTATATTTTTTTATTGGTTGTTCAAAACATTAAAAAGTTCATGATATATCATCTTTCATACATTTGACTCAATTGGGTTATGAACTCCCATTTTTACCCCAAATACAAATTGCAGAATCACATCGGTTACACACTCACATTTTTACATAATGGCATATTAGTGACTGTTGTATTCTGCTACCTTTCCTATCCTCTACTATCCCCCCTGCCCTC